ACTTGAACACGTCCAGCCCCTCCAGAAGCTCTCCAACCCATTTGGAGAGCTTCAGATTGATTCAGATCTTTTAACTGGTCCCCTGACTCGATTCGGAGATTCGGCCGCCAAATCGGCCCAGATCTCCTCTGAATTGAATCAGCACCTGAAGTTTTGCATAGCCCTAGTACAAACCAGTTTTCAGTAGTAGATTGAGGGAGGTGGGGGAAGAACTTGGGGTGGCCTGAGTGCCTGGGGTTTATGCTTTTAATACAGGATGGAGGTTGTGGGGCTGAATCCTGAACTCTATTACCTTTTAAGAAAAGACCTGAGTGTTGCAGACAGAAGGAGACTGTTGTTGTCCTATGAAATGGGTCCTTTGACAGGGGAGAGAGAAGACAGGTTGGAAGGAAAGGATTTTGCTTGTCTGTTAACTACATTAAAGTGGGTTTTCACTGCAGAAAAAAGAATAGGAAAAGGTTGATTGGGCGAAGAGAGAAGAAAACCAGGCTCTGGAAAGATTTATAAAAGAAGGGAACTATAGTTAAGACTTGAGATGAAGATTCCTGGTTTCTTGTAGGCTGCTATAAAGAAAAGATTATCTTGCAGCCTATGCCTTTATATAGGCGAGTAGCAGCCACAGCATCTTTTCTGAAAGTATTGTGCTTGGAGGCTTGTTAGCTGCGGTCAAAAGTTAAAGTATCAAAAAGGCCCTGATACCAAGAATGTGGATACTGTGTTGAGGGAAAGCCTATAAATGCTTCTACATAGCCATTATTCTTTGTTCTGTTGAGAACTTCTGATGAAGGCTTTACCAGATGAGTCCTCTTCCTTGAGGCTTTAGGTCTTCAGAAGTTCTAGAAAAATGGGTTAAAGCAGCGTTACTGTGAAGATCTGTTCTTCTGGATGAGAAGAAAACAAAAGTGCATGTGGAAAACCGAATAAAATCATTTTACCTAGAAGTGGAGCCTCCATTTTATCTCTGCTTTCTTGCTTTTTCATATGTGGAGTTGTAATAATGATCTTTCACACAGGGCAGAGAAGATGTAGTCTCAAAGTTAAATTGACATTTTAATTCCCATAACTTGTTCCTTTTATTCTTTTTATTAATTTGCCCTAGAGAAGGGCATATCCCTACTTTATGTATGCATAAATGTTCAATGGCAGAGTTTTTAATATAACAAGGACCAAATTTAACTACATAAATTTAGCAAAGTTTTCATTTAGCGAAGTGAAAATTACACCCATGTGTTGCACTTTTTTTTTCAAACCAGCTGTGGGAGAACAAGCTGATGCAATCCAAGGCTGTAGATGGGTTTCATTCAGAAGAACAGCAGCTTTTGTTGCAGGTTCAGCAGCAACAGCAGCAGCAGCAACAGCAGCAGCAGCATCACCACCACCACCATCATCCTCAACCACAACCACAGCAGACACTGCAACAGCAATCCCAGCCACAGCAAGTCCTTATTCCTGCATCCCAGCAAGGTTGGACTGAATTACTAATGTGTCTGAAAGACTCTAGTTAAAACAGCTTTAATAGGGGAAACTAAATCTAGGGAAGGATAAAGTCTTTGAAAGTTACTTTTGTCTCTGTAGATGAAGTTTTCAGTATATTCCCTTTTCTTTCTTGTTTGCCAAGTCTCACATGGATATTTTTTCAAAGCAATGATTTTTGTCTTCTATTACGATGATGTAAATCCCAGTGGCATTTGCAATCCTACTATTACAAGCAAGCTGCCTAAACCATATTGTTCCAATTATCACTCAATCCTTTTTATCAGAAAAAAGCATTAAAATTGCATTGTTTTTTGCACAGAGCTGACCTAATCCAGCCCCGAACAATGTTGCTGTAATTGCATGAAGTCTTAGTTTTGCCTTTACGTCTTCAGAAACCTGGATATGTATTTAAGAATTTGTATTTAGAGAGTAGGTTTAGATTAGACATCCGCAAGAACTACTTCACAGTTAGGGCGGCTAGGAGCTGGAACCAACTTCCTAGGGAAGTGGTGCTGGCTCTTAATGTGGGGAGCATTAAGAAGAGGCTTGATGACTACCTGGCTGGACTCATTTGAGTCTAGTCTTTTCTCCCGCCCAGGCGGGGGGTCAGACCTGAAGATCTACAAGGTCCCTTCTGACCCTACTTCTATGATTCTGTGATAAGAAAAACAGCTTTTTCTCCAAAACTTAACC